GAAAGTCAAATTTTCTATTCAGCTCTGGTCTTTTCATTAGGAATGCTTGAAAGTCCTCTATTTCACTGAATGACCATTTTTTCCCCTGAAGGATTATACTCAATTTTGCTGGGTAGGTGATTCTTGGTTGTAATCCTATCTCCTTTGCCCTCTGGAATATTATATTCCATGCCCTGCGGTCCTTTAATGTAGAAGCTGCTAAATCTTGTGTTATCCTGATTGTGTTTCCACAGTACTTGAACTGTTTCCTTCTGGCAGCTTGTAATATTTTCTCCTTGACCTGGGAACTCTGGAATTTGGCTATAATATTCCTAGGAGTTTTCCTTTGGGGATCTCTTTGAGGAGGATATCTGTGGATTCCTTCCATTTCTATTTTGCCCTCTGGTTCTACTATATCAGGGCAGTTTTCCTTGATTATTTTATTTTATTTTATTTTATTTTTAGGCAATTGGGGTTAAGTGACTTGCCCAGGGTCACACAGCTAGTAAGTGTCAAGTGTTTTGGTCTGAGGCTGGATTTGAACTCAGGTACTCCTGACTTCAGGGCCAGTGCTCTATCCATTGCACCACCTAGCTGCCCCTTGATAATTTCTTGAAAGATGATGTCTAGGCTCTTTTTTTGATCATGGCTTTCAGATAGTCCAATAATTTTTAAATTCTCTCTCCTGGATCTATTTTCCAGGTCAGTTGTTTTTCCAGTGAGATATTTCACATTGTTTTCTAATTTTTCATTCTTTTGGATTTGTTCTACTGTGTCATGATTTCTCATAAAGTCACTATCTTCCAGTTGCTCTATTCTAATTTTTAAGGAAGTATTTTCTTCAGTAAGCTTTTGGACTTCCTTTTCCATTTGGCCAATTTTTCTTTTTAGGGCATTGTTCTCCTCATTGGCTTTTTGGACCTCTTTTGCCATTTGGGTTAGGCTATTTTTTAAGGTGTTCTTTTCTTCAGTATTTTTTTGGGTCTCCTTTAGCAAGCTGTTGACTTGTTTTTCGTGATTTTCTTGTATCACTCTCATTTCTCTTCCCAGTTTTTCCTCTACTTCCCTTACTTGCTTCTCAAGCTCTTCCAAGGCCTGGGACTGATTCATATTTTTCTTGGAGGTTTTGGATGTAGGAGCTTTGACTTTGTTGTCTTCTTCTGATTGTATATTTTGATCTTCTTTTTCACCAAAGGAAGATAATACAGTCTGACTCTTTTTGCCCTGCTTGCTCATGATCCCAGCCAATTACTTGAGTTTTAAACTCTTTGTTAAGGTACGAATCTGCTTCCAATATGGAGACTGTACTGTCCCAAGCTTCAGGGGTTTGTACAGGTGTTTTCAGAGATACTTGTAGGGACCTGTAAATTTTCAGTTCTTCCAAGGTGGTATGGTAAGGGGGTGAGGTGTTTACTCCTTTTCTGGCCTGCGACTACAAGGACTCCTTTCTGTCCTGTAACTGTGAGGAAGGGCTCCTCTCCACAATGACTGCAAGCTCCACCAAGCCAGCGCTCCTCCTCACCCCAGCACCTCCGCCCAGAACTGTGGCCCAGATGCAAACACAGGCAAAGCAAGAGATTCTTGCCTCAGCACTGGCAAAGAGATCCCTGCAATCCCTCTCTGATCAGCCACTGGATTCCCCCTCAGTCTGTGGGCTGGAAGCTTGGGAAGCAGCTGCCCCCCCCCAGCGCCACGCTCTTGGGGAATGGAACTGAAACCCCACCTTCCTTTCTCAGCACGGACAGAAACAGACTTTTCCCACTGACCTTCTAAGTTGTCTTTGGCATTGGTGGATTGAGGAGTCTAGAAACCTCCACAGCTGCCTGAGATTCAGTCCTCTGAGGCCTGCTCCAGATTTGCGGAGGCTGCGCCTGTGCCACGCTGCACTCCCAGCCTGGCGCGATACACCTTTCTGATCAATCATCCAGGTTGTCTTGGGCTGGAAATTTGTTTCACTCTGTATTTTTGTGGGTTCTGCTGCTTCAGAATTTGTTTAGAGCCATTTTTTAATGAGTATTTGCAGGGGTTTGGAGGAGAGCTGAAGCAAGTCACTGCTTTCACTCTGCCATCTTGGCTCCACCTCTTTGGCCTTTCTCTTTACCAAGGATAACACCTCTCCATGCAAAGGTGATTCCATTCTATCCTGCCTTCTCTAGCAGATTACTTTTTCTATTACCCCTAACTGTCTCACTAATTTTTATCTATCTCAATCTACTCGTTGCTTCCCTACTGCCTCCAAACACACCCACATCTCCCCCATCTTAATATCCTCACTTGGTCCATCCTACTGTGTGTCAGGCATTGAACTAAGCATGGGATTCAAAGAAAAGTAACAGACAGTCCCTCCTCTCCAGAAGTTTACAATCTAATGGGGCAGACGATACGCAAATAACCATTTACGGGAAAGATAAATGAGAGATAAACCACAGAGGAAAGGCACTGACGTTAAAGGGGATCCAGAAAGCTTTCTTGCTTCGAAGATGGGATTTTAAGTGAGACTTGAAGGAAACCAGGGAATCCAGAAGGTAGAAATGAAGAGGGAGGTAATTCTAGGCATGGAAGACAGCCAATTAAAATGCTCAGAGTTGAGAGATGGAGTATCATGTGCAGAGAAGAACAAGGAAGTCAATGTCACTGGAGCATACCCTACATGGGGTAAGTGAGGTAGGTGAGTAGGGGCTAGATGATGGAGGGCTTTAAAAAAACAGGATTTTATATTTGGTCCTGGAGATGAGAGGCAGCCAGTAGAGTTGATTGGATGGGGTGGGGCAAGTGTGTGAAAAGGTCAGACCTGTGTTTTAAGATCATTTTGACAGTTGAGCAGAAGATGGACTGGAGTGCGAAGAGATTTGAAGCAGAGACCAACCAATCAGAAAGTTATTGCAACAGACCAGGCATGAAAGTGATGCACTAGGGTAGTGTGAAAGGAGATAAGAGGTGCATACTAGAAATGTTATGAAGGTAGAATCAACAAGACTTAGCAACAGATTGGACATGAGGGATGAGAGAGTATGAAGAATCCAAGATGACACCCAGAGTGTTTGCCTGGGTGACTGGGAAGATGATAGTACCCTTGAGAATAATACGAAATTTGGAAGAGGGGAGGGCCTGGTGGGAAAGATAATGAAGTCAGTTTTTGACATGTTGAATTCAAGACATCTATGAGATACCCAGTTCAAGCTGTTTAATAGGCAGCTGGAGGTGAAGAGAGAAGTTAGGACTGGATAAGTGACCTGGAATTCATCAACATTGATATAATAAATGAATCCATCAGAGATGATAAGATCACCAAGAAAATGACGTAAACAAAGAAGAGAAGAGAACCTGAGACAGACCTTTGAAGAACGCCCACCATTGATGGGCATGACCTGAATAAAGATTCAGCAAAAGAGGCTGAGGAAAGGTCAGACAGGTAGGAAGAGAACCAGGAGAGAGCTGTGTCACAAAAACTTAGAGGGAAGAGAATATCAAAGAGAATGACCCGCAGTTTCAAAGACTGCAGAGAGATCAAGGAGGAGGAAGACTGAGAAAGGTGATTTTAGATTTGGTGATGGAGAGATCATTGGCAACTTTGGAGAGAGTGGTTTCCACTGAATGATGAGGCTGGAAAGCAGACTATAGAGAGCTTTAAAAAAATGAGAGGAAATAATGGAGGCACCTATTGTAGTTGACCCTCTCAAGGAGTTTAGCCAAAGAAGAGAGAAGGGATGTGGGACAATAACTAATAAGGTTGAATGGACCAAGTGAGAATTTTTTGAGAATGGAAGAGACATGGGCATTTTTGTAGGCAGTAAGGAAGTGGCCAGTAGACAGGTAGAGATTAAAGATAAGTGGCTCCCCATGGCTTTTCCTCCACCAACCCTCTCTGCTGAGGGCTGATAACTTTGCCTTCTATTTCACTGAGAAAATTGAGGCTACTCACTGAGAGCTCCCTCTTTTCCTCTCTTCCTTATTTCACATCACTCAAAAGCCAGGATTAGAGGGGCAGGTAGGTAGTGCAGTGGATAGAGCACCAGCCCTGAAGTCAGGAGGACCTGAGTTCAAATCTGGACTTAGATCAAACACTTGATATTTACTAGCTCTGTGACCCTGGGCAAGTCACTTAACCTCAATTGCCTTAAAAAGAAAAAAGCCAGGATTAATACCACTCAGATGGAACTGTGCTCTGGTAACAAGCATGGCCTTCATCTATCTGAGAAATGTGAGATGGGAAAGAAAAATATCTTTCTGGCTTTTTTATTTTAGTCCATGAGTCTGAGACAGGGAGAAAACACTCCTTTCTTCCTATTTCTTTTCCATGAGTGAAGAGATCTAGGGGGGCAAAAAGGAGGAGAGCTAAGAGATGTTTGGAAATGACTATTTCCACACGGGGGTATGTTTGGTTTAGTGTCCTTTTCATCCTATTCCATGTACTATAAGCCCCTGATCACAGCTTGCTAAATCTCTAAATCTGTCCATGCAATAGAAAGTGAACTGAGACCCCAAAACCCAGACAAGATTGGGGCTCTGAACCCAGTACAGAAAACAGATTTCATATTCACCCAGTGCTAGTTCTGGTTCTGGGCAGCTACGTGGTAGAGCAGATGGAGAGCCAGGCCTGGAGTCACTAGAATCGGAGTTCAAATCTAGCCTTGGACACTTACTAGCTACATGATCCTGGGCAAGTCACTTAACCCTGTTTGCCTCAGCTTCCTTATCTTCAAAATGACCTGGAGAAGGAAATGGTAAACCACTCCAGTATCTTTGCAAAGGAAACCTCAAACGGAGTCATGAAGAGTTGGACATAACTGAAAAATGACAGAACAACAAAAGATTTACAAAACAGGAGAAGTTTCTGGGACAGCCCCAGCAGAGAACTGTCTATCTCAGCTTTACCACCCTTCCTCCTTATAATCTATTTCTATCTTCCTCTCTCCTTCCCCAAACCACTGCGGGAACAATAGCGAAGAAGGAGAACTATAGCTCTAAAATAATTTCTCTACATTGGTAAGCAGTTGCCAAGAAGGTAGCCTGTTAAGACACTGTCATAAACACCTAGGGGATGGAGGGCATACAAGAGAAAAGAAAAGTATAATGGGGGAGTGGAAGGAAACCAGAGACAAACTTCCCCTGCTTTGGTTTTGCCTGAGCCCTAGTGCATTTGGGAAGAAGATTAGGTGAACTCATAGATCCAATGCCTACAGACAGGCTGGATAATGAGAATAATGAAGGTGGGCAAGAAGGCAGGTTAGGAAGGAATGTCCAGGAAGGAATTCAGGGGCAGAACCAGGGCCAGGGAGGAAAGGAGAGGTGGGTAGTGGCTAGAGTGGCCCTCTGGGACATTCCATTTATTCAGGTGTCTGAGAGTGGGGAATAGAGAGTACCCCTCCCCATCACCTGGGGAAAAGGGCCATGGGGTCTATCAACTGCACTCCATTCCTCTTTGTCATCTTCTTCTGCCAGACATATGCAGTAGCCAAAGGGCTTGTATCCACATCTAGCTTCTTTTCCAGCAGTTGCAGCCGGGCTGTGGTGTCTGTCAGCATATCCATGAGCAGCTCTTGTTGGAGCTTCAAATAGTTGTTTTCTTCCAGCAATGTCTTGTTCTTGCCCTGGTGGACAGGATGCTTCCAGTAGGCAGTGAGGTTCAAGGGTTGCAAGTTACTTGTGTACCCTCCTTCCATCACCCACTTTCCAGACCGGAAGACAAAGGCCTGGTCACTGAGCTGAGCGCGAGGAGGACCATAATTGAGACCTAGCTCAGCCTGGCGAGTGTGGTGGTCCAACAGGTAGAAGGTGGACATGGAGGAGAAATGGCGCAGTGGGGGTCGCCTGGGTGTGAAACGGCGGGAGAAGTGGTCAACCCAAAACTGCCGTAGCTGATCCATCAGGTTAGAGAATGAGTTCATGCTAGGAGTTTGGGGAGAGGAATCCAGGCTGCCAGGGACTGATGGATCGATTGAGGGGAGGAGGGAGGAAATATGGAAGTCCCCACACACTGGCCTTAGCTGCTCAGTGGGTGGCTGTCTGGAGGGGAGCCCCAGGATGGAGTTCACTTTAATGGCCAAGCAGCTGAGTTCTGGATAAGTACCAAAGGTTTCTGTGGGGAGATAGGATCAGGATGAGTAATTTCTCCTGTCCTGCTATTCTTAGAGACTAGAAGCTTTCTTTGGACACTAATAGTAGCCCCTATTCCATTGCCTGCCCACCACAGCCTTTCTCTTCTACCCCCTTTACCTTTTTCTTCCTTTCCTATATCTTCCTTATGGATAGGGACCTAGACTAGGAATCAGGTAAACCTGGGTTCAAATCCCACTGCAGATACTATCTGCATGACCTTAGGAAGGTCACCTAACCCTTTGTATCTCAGTTTCGTCATCTATAAGATGAGAAGACAGGACTCAATTTTCTTCTAAGGTCCCTTCCAGCTCTAAACCTGTATGATCCTATGATCCCCAACTACCTTAAGTCTAGGACCTAGAGCACAGTTTAGCCCTGTGGGTAGCCCTTAGGGCTAAGAAGGCTTTGGAATTCTTCCTGACTGTTCAAACAAGGCTGAACTGGCCCCCTTAGTCCCATCCCTATCCCTTTGGCTCTTTCTACCGGCAGTACCATCGTCAGCCTCATGACCATTCCTATATACTCTCACTAGTTTCTGCACAGGTAGGCTATATAACATGATGCTGGGATTTACAATATGTAAAGAATATCTTTCCTGCCCTCAGGAAGTTTATACTTTCAGGCTGTCTGAAACTCAGGACTCATGCAGATTCAGTTTGGGGAACAGACCACTCCACGGAAAACCTATTGATGCTGCCAGGTCACCACAGAGACATGGATTTTTTAAAATCCCTATTCTCACTAAGATATGATTGGGAAGAGCTAGGCTGGGACTGAACTCTCAGTAAATGATGCTGGTTTCACTTGATTACTACCACTTCTAGCCACATTCATTTAAGGGAACCCTTCTTGGTCTCAAGTCCACAGAGACATGTGACATCTTTATCCATGCAGGACAGGACCAAGGACACTTTGGGATCTGGACCACCTCCCCAGAAGGGAATGCTGACTTCTGATCCCCCCCCATTCTCTCAGTCCCCCTTATAGCTCATCTGTAGTGCTTACCTTCAGCTTCTTTCATGGGCCCCGCACCCTCAGCTCCTAGTCAGCTCAGCTCCTGACTATCTCATACGACTCACAATGACTGACCACTTAGCTAGCTTTGTGGAGTCCACTACAGCTGCAGGGTAGCTGAGGGTCAGTCACACTGGGAAGTCCAAATCCCTCTGCTTCCTTACATCCCAAGTGGTAGTAACATCAGAGCTCTTTACTCCTTCTAACTATACCCCTAGGCTAATCTTTCCAAAGCACACATCCTTCCTGTGACCCTCTGCTCAAGGTCCTCAAGATATATTGAAAAACGGGAGGATAGGGATGGGGAAGGGGACCATAAGACAAGATGTAGTCTTGAAGGGGAGTTGGAAAGGGAAAACTAATACACATGAAATAAAAAAACTTCCTACAACTTTTACAACTTTACAACCTTTACAACAACTACTTTAACCTACACATTCTCTCATTTACCTACAGCACTCATAGTGTCTGCCAGTCCATGTCTAATGATGTTACTATTGGAATCATAGAGTTGGAACTGGAAACTTGGAACCTTAGAAATGATTTGGTTCAATATCACCACCCCATTTTGTAGAAGCTCAGAGATGGAAGAGACCTGTCTAAGATCACACACCAAGCTAGTGACAGAATTTGGACCAGAACCCAGGTATCTTGATTCCTGGTGTCCTGGTCTCTCTAATCTACTATGTTGCCCATTTCCCAGAGCATTTGTAGGTGAGCAGCAAATATTTGACTAAGAATTTAAACCTATAACCTGAAGTCTAAAGTAAGGGTGGGCTCCCAGAGCCTGACTATGAGGGAGGCCCTCCATCCAGGGGTACCCTGGTGCTAGCTCTAACCAGCTTGTGAGAGCCCATTATTAAATTTTCAATATGAGCATTTCCAGCTTAAAAATTGGTAATGGATACAAATCAGATCTTGATTTATTATTTTGTTGATTGTCTAGCCTTAAGGAGGTGTTAATAATAATAATACCCTTATAAATATGTACATAAATTTTCCCCCCAGAGCATCTGTTTCTTAAGCATTTCCCAGCACACCCCTGCCCTCATCCCAATATCAGTCCATCCTTGGACAGAGTGCCAGAGAAAATGGCATATTTTCACCATTTTCTAAAAGCAAGGTAGCCAAGGGGTTTTTGAGGGTCTGGGAAATGACCAAGAGAGGACAGAGAAACAGGAAGCTACTTTTCTTTTTAAGTGATAAGACTCCAATCACCTCTCATCAGGACAGACCAGGGACACTGAAGATGGGAAAGGGAATCTGGTACAGTTTAGCTACCTTTGGCAATATTGTAATATTCCTGACTATTCAGACATTGTATGTGTCCCTCCCCAACACAGCCTCAACAGAATAGCTGGAAAACAGGGCAGCAATAATAAACAAGTCATGTGGCTAGACTGAAGCCAAGACAGCTTGCAACTTTTGTTAAAACATGGTTGGACTTCCTTTGATTCAACCCTGACTTGCCCCTTAAAAAGAGGTAGCACACCCAGAGTGATGTATCATCCCTTGTGGAGGAGAAAATAAGTCCTGCACTGGATCTCTGAGAATCTGGGTTCAGATCTCAAACCTGTTATTTATTAGCTGTGTAACCCTAACCTCTCTGGACATTTTCTTGATCTGTAAAATGAAGAGTTTGGGACAGGGTCAGGGGTTCTTCACCCTTTTTCTATCATGTACCCCTCCAGCAGTCTGATGAAACTTATAAACCCCTTCTAAAATAATGTTTTTAAATGTATAAAATAAAATACAGAGTATAGCAACTCTATGGAAATACAGTTATCAAAATATTTTTTAAAACCAAGTTCAGGGGCAGCTAGGTGGCATAATGGATTACAGCACCGGCCCTGGAGTCAGGAGGACCTGAGTTGAATCCGGCCTCAGACACTTGACACTTACTAGCTGGGTGACCCTGGGCAAGTCACTTAACCCCATTGCCTAGCACAAAAAAAAAAAGTTCAAGGACACTTCATGTTCAGAATCCCTGAACTTAATCTAATGGATGATTTCTAAAATCTTTTTTTTTTAAATCTAGAGCCTATGAATGCAAAAGGTACAAGTTTGGCCTGCAGCCTTCAAGAGTTGCTAAAGAGCAAGTTAGAGCAGCTTTGTAGTAAAAGGGAAAATGAATCATTAATTACACATAATGACCTAACTTCACCTGGGTGTACAGCATTTCCACTTAGCTCTTTGCTTTCTCTCTGGTGGCCACATGAGACAGCACTCTCAGGGACACCCCTGTCCCACAAATAGAAATGAGCACAAACACAGCTCTCCTCTTTCTCTGGTTTGGAGCTGGGAGACCTGTATAGTCTTATGGTAGTATTGGGCAATTAGGTGGTGCAGTGGGTAGAATGCCAGGGCTTATCTTCCTGAGTTCAAATCTGGCCTCAGACACTTGCTTGCTGTGTGACCTTAGGCAAGTTATTTAACCCTGTTTGCTTGAGTTCCTCCTCTGTAAAATGAGTGGGAGAAGGAAACAGTAAATCTCTCCAGTATCTTTGCCAAGAAAACCTCAAATGGGGTCAAAGAGAGTCAGACACGACCAGACAACAACAAAATGGTATTATTACTTGTAGGGAATGCTTACCTGTGTATGTCGTTAGGGGTTACTCTTGAGAATTATATCCTTAACTTGTAGAAGTCACTTTAGATAGAGTGGCACATTTGCTTAAAGCTAGAGATTTTCCTGCAAGTTCATATGTTTGAAAATCCTCATTAAATACCTGTTTACTCAGGTAGCCCAGAAGAATACTACCACGAACTTGCTTTAATAGATCTTGAGTTGATCATTGGAAAGGATTAGTTAAGTTGTATCCCCAAATCCCTTCCTTTGCAGTCAGCAAGGGAGTTGAGAATGGTAGAAGCCATTTCCAATATAGAAATAAAATCACAAAACCACTATGAAGTTTTCTCCTCCATGTACTGTGCTCCTCAAATGAAGAGACCTATTCTCAAAGCTTTGACCTTCATTTTCTGTTCTTTCTCTCCTCCACTTGCTTCCTTATTGATCTGTTAACACAGGGATCTGACCGATATCTTTACAGGGTTAGCCCTGAAGACAGCCATTTGCCCTGAGTTTTTTGGGACTATACAGGCTGCTACCATGACAACCAGGAATGGGTGTGAATCACAGAGGAAACTCATCAACAAGGCATAGCCTATCAGATCCCTGAGACAAGAGTCTCAGGGCGACCCCAGAGATCCCACTGGTTTCAGCCTTCCCATTATGTTTTCTGCTCCTTATTCACCAAGTCAGGTCATTTATGGGGCTGGTGGAGCTAGTGGGATTTATGATCACTTGATGAGAGGATATGGTCACTTCAGTTGACTGCACTTCAGTGCAGTCAGGAGTCAGTCATATCAGTAGGGTATTTAAGGTTGGTGATATCAGTGGATTGCTAATATTTAAGGCACTAAAAAGTAATTTTACTCATTTGATCTGTACCCTTTCTACCTTAAGCTATACTGGGGCAATACCCATTCTGAGTCATTCTGGTTCTAGATCTCAAGGAACAGGAACACAGCCTTCAATATCAATGATATACAAAACCAGAGACAAAAAGGACAGGTGTGCTGATCAGGCCAATTCTGGCCACTTGGAAAGGAAGCAACACAGTTGTTAATTACAGGGTAATTTCTAATTTCTATCACTACAAGAAAATGAGCTGTAGAACAATAGATTATTGCTGCTTTGAGAATATGCCAATTTGTAGTTCATAAATCTTGCATGCAAAAATTAAGTCAACATATCACAAAACTGTTTCTATAAAGTCTCCTAAGAGATTAAACCCAAAGTAGGGAATCTAGTCCTGCCAGATAGATGATTCCAAACTACATATGACCTTGACCAGGCTATCTCTCCCTCCTGGGCAGTACTGTCCTGGTTAGGTCCTCTTGCACGGAAAAGAAATCCTTTATATAAACTTGCAGCAGTAAACCCTCCAATTTAGCAGCACATTATTTCTTAGTGAATTTGTAGTCAGGCTGAGTGCTAGGGATAAAAAAAAGAGACAAGAGACAGTTCCTGCCCTCAAGGAGCTCACAATCTAAGGGAAAATCAGGGTGGGAGCGGGGGGAGGGACAAGCAACAAGCAAACATTTATGTGCAAACAAGCTATGTGGAGGCTAAATAGGAAATAATTAAAAGAGCTGATCAAACCAACTGGCCAGCAGGACTAAGGAGCCTGAATTCCTGTTCATTTGTCCACATTCAATAAACATGATTTGAAAGACTTTTTTTTTTGGGGGGGGGTGTCTGGGTTTATGCTTTCTTTGGCATAGGAGCCTCCCTCTAGCAATGTAGATGCAGCTATGGTGCAACCTGTAAGCATTATAACCTGAGGACACCAAGATACTTCTTTTAACTTCTTAATATACTTAAAATACTTCTTCACTATTGTTAAATGATTTGCTTAATGTCATATAGCCAGAATATATCAGTGGAGGGACCTGAAATCAGGACTCCTCAACTCTGAGGCAGGCTCTCTATGATGCCACATTTCCAGAACGTCAGGGAGTAAGGCAGTCCACAGGTATTTATTAAGCACTTTAAATGTGCCAGGCACTATGCTGAAGGGGATACAAAAAAAGGCAAAAATGCCATATCTCTCTTAGAGAACTCATATCTTAATAAAAATTTCTTGAGAGTAGGGAGTTTCATTCTTTGTATTTGTAACCCCAGTGCCTACCTAGCACCATGTCTGGGCATATAGTAGATATTTATAAATGCTTACTGGCTGATGGATTTTTTAAAAAAAAGGTCAAATTTATATCAGACAAGTTATTTATGTGTCCAAGGGGAGAAAGGAAAGTGGGAACCAAGTCTCCTGGATCAATAAAACCAAACCTATGTATCCCTTTATTATACAGCATGACACCTTTGGTGAGCTTTAGCAAATGTGCTCCATGCTCCAAATGTATGACCTTAAAACTTAGATATAGTTAGGAACAGCAGCAGGTTCTTCTTCCATCTTTCTTGACCTTCTGTGCCCAGCATAGTCAGGCTAATAGAATAAATGACTACCAGTACTGGTTATCATTCAGGGT